ATTACTAGATATTATCCAATTGATACCAAAATTAACATATTGATGCAAAAAAACCAAAATTGATGCCATAAATATCAAACTAATAGCAAAATTAACAAATTGATATGAAAATGAACCATTTGATAACTAGATATATCCAATTAATATAAAAATTATCAAAGTAAAACGAAAAGAACTAGAATTGTTACCTGAAACATCCAATTGATAACAAAAAAATTTATATTGGTACCAAACAGAATGAAATTGAAACTAAAATTATCAATTTGATGTAAAAAAAAAATTAAAATTGATACGAAAAATATCCAATTGTTACCAAAATTGATGCACAAACTAAAACTGATACAAGAAATAGCGAATTAATACCGAGGATAACAAATTGGTACCAAAAGTATAAAATTGGTACCAGAAATATTATGTTGATAACAAAATTTTAAAAAATAAGCCAAAAAATACTTAAAAATTGGTACCAAAAAGTATGAAATTGATACAAAAATTATTAAATTGATGCAAGAGGAACTAATAATTATTAATAATACTAATAATAATTGCTACCAAAAACATACCCAATTGTTACCAAAATTGATTGAAACAACTAATACTCTAACCAAAAATATTGAATTAAATATCAAAGGTATGAAATTGGTACCAAAACTGGTCCAATTTATATCATCAAAAGTATAAAATTGATGACAGAAATATTAAGTTGATATAAAAATTAATAAAAATAGGGCAAAAAAATTAAAATTCGTATTAAAAAGATTGAATTGGTACCAAAATGATTAAATTGATTTAAAAAGACTGTAGTTGATATAAAAAATATTAAATTAATACCAAATTGATCAAATTGATGCAAATAAAGACTGAAATTGATGCAAAAAATATTCAAAGGTTTAAAATTGATATTAAAAAATATAAAATTGATACCAAGAGTTCAAAATAGTACAAAAAAAATGTCAAATAATTTAAAAAAAAAAATTTAAATGAGTTAAAAAAATAGGGCAAAAAAAATTAAAATTCAAAGATTTAATTGATACAAAAATTATTAAATTGATTCAAAAAGACTGTAGTTGATATAAAAAATATTAAATTGATATCAAGAGTTCAAAATTGTACAAAAAAATGGCAAATTAATAAAACAAAGTATAAAATTTCTAGAAAAAATATCAAATTAATACCAAAAGTATCAAATTGATACCAAAGAAATTTCAAATTAATACCAAGTTTTCAAATTGGTACCAAAATCTATGAAATTGATACATCAAATTAAAATTAAATTTATACCAAAAAGTTTAAAATTGTTACCAAAAAATATCAAATTAGTACCAAACGTATAAAACTGGTACCAATACAATTGTTACCAAAAGATATCAAATTGGTACCAAAAAAATAAAACTGGTACCACTACAATATCAAATTAATGCAAAAAATATGAAATTGTTTCCAAAATGACAAAATTGATTCAAAAAAACACTGAAGGTTATGCCAAAAATATCCAATTAGTACCTAAGTTATCAAATTGGTAATAAAAAATATTAAATTGATACTGAGAGTTTAAGTTAACACCAAAAAAAAAAAAAAAAAAAATGGTAAATAGGTATAAAAGTTTTACTAAAAAATATCAAGCTTTGTACCAAAAGTATATAAAATTGTTGCAAAAAATATTAAATTAATACTAATAGTATCAAATTGGTACCAAAGAAATTTCAAAATTAATACCAAGTTTCTAAATTGGTACCAAAATCTATTAAATTGATACAGCAAATTAAAATTAAATTTATAAGAAAAAGTATACAATTGTTACTAAAAAATGACACAAATATGATAATTTTCCTTTTTCCTTATTCTTGAAAATTATAGAAAACTAAAAAAATTAAACATTAAAAAAACAAGGAAATTAAAAAAAAAAATCATTGAACCAAAACAATAAATTCAATAATTATTCATACATAATTATCAGAATACAGGTAGTGTGAGAGACTTAACCCAATCGACATATTTAAATATATAAATGTGAGAAAATGAAAGAAATGAACTAGAGAGATAAATTCCGCGTTTCATTTGAGAATAATGGACGATTGCTTTATATTTTTCGATCGATCGATCTAAAATCCTATCGCGACGCTGGTACCCGCAGATGATGGTTCAGGGGGGGGAGGAGGATTGAGGGGGAGATGAGCGCCTGTGGCTTCTCATGAAAATTTTCATATTCATGTATTCATTGTTTATCACTACGTTGAGTCTGTCCGGCGATGTGCAGTCACGAACAGAGTAACGTAAGAACAACAAGGTGCGCGCAACGTCAAACATGATTGTACATCAGCTCACACAATCAATTTGTAATTGTCGCACGCAATTTTCCTTTTATATAATGTTTCAAATTCTCCAATATCTCTGTTGAATTTGTAAAATTCAACTCAATATTTTTCTGAATAGAATTAATTGTAATTATTATTAGAATTAATTACAATTATTATTAAAATTAAATGCAATTATTATTAAAATTAAATATAATAATTATTATTAGAATTAAATATAACTATTATTAGAATTAATTATAATAAATTATAATTAATTAAACAATATTTAAACTACTGGTAAATTAAAGGCATTAGGGGAAAAGAAAGAACACATTTTTTTTTCCTAGTAATTTTTATTATTTTTTTTTTAAAGTAAATTTTATTATTTTCATTCGAAAATAGTAAAATTTTCTTTATTTAAATAAATAAATTTTTTCTGATAACTTTTGAACTATTATTCTGAATAAATTTTTTTACTATTTGACTATTTTCTATATATGTAAATTTTCGTTCATAGCTTTTTTCCGACTACAAAATTTGACTGTTTTTCAAGCAAAATTTTGATACTTTTTTAACACCAATTTTACTATACTTTTTGTAAATTTTCGTTTGAAACTTTTACTATCTTTTTTATGAAAATTTTACTTCAATCAAAGGCATTGGGGGAAAAGCAACAAAATAAATTTTTTCTGTAGTAACATTGAATATTTTTTTAAAAGTAAATTTTACTATTTTCGAATGTAAATTTTCCCTGGCAACTTGAACTATTATTCTGAATAAAAATTTTACTATTTTCTGTGAAAATGGTAGTATTTTTTTAATGTAAATTTTACTAATTTCAATGGAAATTTTCGCTGGTAAAATTTACTATTTTTTAATACAAATTCTACTATTTTTTCTACTAAAATTGTACTATTTTCTAATTTCTATGTAAATTTTCGTCATAGCTTTTACTATTTTTTTAACAAAAATTTTAACAACTTTTTAAACTACAAAATTTGACTATTTTTCAAGCATAATTTTAATACTTTTTAATATGAATTTTACTGTTTTGTATGTATAAAGTTTCGTTTGCAACTTTTATGAAAATTTTACTTCAATCAAAGGCATTAGGGGAAAAGCAATACAAAATTTTTTTCCCTAGTAACTTTTACTATTTTTTAAAAAGTGAATTTCACTGTCTTCGAATGTAAATTTTCTCTGGTAATTTAAACTATTATTTTAAATAAAAATTTTACTATTTTCTGTAAAAATTAGTACTATTTTTTTTAATGTAAATTTTACTATTTTCTATGCAAATTTTCCCTCAAATCTTTTACTATTTTTTGAATACAAAGTTTTACTATTTTATTGACTATTTTTCAAGCAAAATTTTATTACATTTTAATATAAATTTTACTATTTTCTGTGTAAATTTTCGCTGGTAACTTTAACTTTTTTTTTAATTCAAATTTTACTATTTTTTATTGTAATTTTTTACTATTTTCTATGTAAATTTTCGCTACTACATTTTGCTTTTTCTTTTGAATGCAAATTGTACAATTTTTAAATGTGATAAAAAATTTATTTCTCCATCAAGATTCGAGAATTTTCCAGAAAAACTTTTTTCAAAAATTTACCGCAAAAAATGTTTTTGCTAATTCGGAAATTGTCAAACAGGAGAATATGGTCGAACTTTGGAAAGAGAAAGCAAGGTTTAACAATTTCGATTAAAAAAAAAACAAAAAGCAAAAAAAAAAAAAAAAAAACAGAAAATTGGGAAGATGGGGAGAAAATAGAAGATGGAAAGAAACAAAATAAAGTATCGAGACATGAGAAAAGCCTGGTTCTAATTGGTCAGCGCTCTTCTGGGTCGTATACGATCAAAACTCCGGACTTGAATTTAAACCGATGAAAGCTTCTTGTAATTGGACGTAATGCGCTTGTTGGCCCACGATTCGTATTCGTTTTTTATTTATTTTTTGTTTTTTGTAAAGAGAGAATGAGTGAGGGGCTGTGGGGGAGGGGAGAACAACGGGAATCCGTTTTGGCCCCAGAGAATATCGCGAATTCGATTGTCCTTCGATGTACTCCCTTCAATCCCGCACCTAGATTCTCTGAATAAAAATATTCGTTTAAGACATAAATATATGTAAATATTATTGTTATTAATTTTATTATTTTTATTTACTTTTTTAATAATAAAAATATAATTTAATATTTAATATTTTGAAAAATAAAAATTAATATTATTAGGTAATATTATTATTATGTATAAATATTATTATTTATTTATAAACAATACACAAGCAGTGCCTTCCAAAACGAACAATTAAAGAAAATTAGAAAAATATAAAAAAGTATTAGAAAAATAATAATTAAAAATTTTATTGTTTTTTCGTATTGAAAAACAAAAGTGTCGAAACTCTTTCAAAACGAAAAATTAATAAAATTATAAATATAAAAAAATATAAAAAAATATTTTGACAAAATTGTTGTTGTTTCGAAATTGCAATTTTTTTTTTCTTAAAACAGAAAAATGGGAAACTTGTTCCAAAAAGAAGAATAAATAGGACTTTTCCAATTTCTTTCAGTGGAATTAAAAAATTCCTTAGTTTGTGATTTCAATTAAATTGTAACTAAATTGTGTTATTAATTAAATTCATAAAAAATTTTTGGTTGATTTGCAATTACTAAAAAAATACGAATCCTGTTTTTTTGCAGTGTAGAAGAAATACGAAAAAAAATTGGTGAAGACTACAAGTTTCAATTTTTGGCTCGTTACTCCAAACATGTCAAGAAATGTCTCAATTTACATGTGGGGTAAGTCATTTTTTTAAATATAAAAATATAAATCAGAATTTGAATTTTATAAAATTCTCATCCACCACATTTTTGCGTAACAAAAATGCAAAAAAAAATCTCCTCTTTAACACAAAATTACTATTTTCTCTTTGATTTTTACCCCTAATTATTTATGCCATGTGTGCAAAAGTCGACTTTTATTATTATAATAACAAAAAAAGAATCAAAAATGAAAAAGAAAATACCGTGGGCAAAAAAAAAAATAGTCATTAGAAGGATATTTGAAAAACAAAAAGAATAAATTTACAGAAATATCTGAAAAAGGAAAAATATATATAAATGTAGTGAAAATTTTGTAAAAAAAAATCGAGGAATTTCTGCAAGAGGAAATTTAAATAAATATCAAATATCTATTTTAAATTGCAAATTCCATGAATCGTTTGTTACGTTTTATTGGGAAAATGAAAGCACTGTTACTAAATGAAAATTGAGAATTAAAGTAGTGAAAATAAAATAATAACATATTTTTTTTAAAGTAGAAATAATTGATTAGAGAAAAAGGTTAAAAGTTATTGCTCTCGTTATTTTCTTTGCAATATTTATTTACTCTCTAGATCTGAATTAGTGATTTTCAACAAACAGAATGGTGATAATTTTATTTATTAATTTTAACCATTTTTACAATTTGACAATTCATGGCTATTTATTATAATTTAATTTACATTTAATAAAAAATAATTTAATTTTCTAATGATAAATAATTTCATACCTAGTAATAATTTATTTATTATACTAATAAATAATAGTAGCAAATTAATATTATTTACCAAAGTCCTAATTTTATATTAACATTAACTATTAATTAATCCAATATTAATGTTAATTGAATAGTAAACATTAAAATAATTAAATTAATTGAATAATAAAAATTAAAATAATTAAATTAATTAAATAATAAAAACTAAAATAATAATTAGATAATATTAATTGAATATTAATAATAAATTTTAAAATAAAATAAAATAACAATAATAGATTATTAATAGTAAAGTAATGAAAATATAGTAAAAAATTGTAAAAAGAATATATTTTCATCAAATTAATAATTAATTAATATTTTATGCTAATTGTTGAAAAAATAAATTCTCATCTAGAGAATGTAGTAAAGTTTCCTTTCTTCATAAATAAATTACAAAAATAAATCGATTATGCAAAAATAAAATAAATTCAGATTTACTTTTGCAGAGATTTTAATAAAATTAATAATAAAATATTTGTTTAAAAAATTTAAAAAAAGAATTACCTCCGAACATTTTTTTTCTTTGAATACAGGATTTTAATACAGTGTACAGCAGATTAAAAAAATGAATGAAACATTTTTTTTAGTGGAAACTTTTTACAAAATGCGCTTTAAAAATTAAAAAGAGAAAAAAGTTTTGTAAAAGCGTTTGAAAATATTTTGTTTCTCTAAATATTGGTTTTGAAACAAAAATTTACAGCAAAAAAAAAAAAAAAAAAAATGCAAAAAATAAGATTTTATTTATTTTTGAGAGAGAGAAAAATAAAATTTTTTCAATTTTTCTCGGAATGATATTTGTAAATATATATATAAAAAAAAGAAGATTAATATTTATGCGCCGTTCAATTGTATTTAAAAACATATTTCCCCGCGTATGAATTTTGTGTCATGATAATCCAAAGAGCCGGACACGTTTGATAATCCTTCGCGCAGGGATTCGTCTCTTGATATGTATACCTACTACTGTACTGAAGAGACTAATTACGCCTTTGACGAGCGACATTGAAGATCCGACATGGTTGACATATTCGCGATTGAAGTTCGAGTTCGAAAGGCACACGTTATTTTCCTATGTTTATTTACGCAGCCTTCCAACGGTTTCAGTCGAATGAGAAACGCTCGGCAAAACACGAATATTGCCCGTTTGAGTTCATTGAAAAACGAGGAGTAAACTGTAATTACGAATTTTAAGAAATTTCCTTTTTAATGCCAAACAATATTTGTTTTTTTTTTTTTTTTTAATTTTCTTTCAAAAACTTATTAAAAAATAAATAAACGAATCAATGGTAAATGCAAATAAAATAGGTAAATTTGCCCTCTGCATAATTTATAGTAAATTAGAAATTTCAAATCTAAAAATAATTATTTACTCGACTTATCAAAATAAATATTTACTTGAGACGAAGAATTTTTGTTTAAATAAAAAATTTTCGAATTATTTTTATATTAAATATATAAATTGTTTCATTGTTAACTTAAAAGTATCAAAATTGAACGAACTGGTACCAAAAATATGGACCAATTATCTGGCTTCGCACTCATCTAAAATAAAAATCATCATAAAAAAAATCATAAAATTCAATTATTTACAAAAATATTACAATTTTTTACAGGAATTCAGTTATTTTCAAATATTTAAATAAAATTGTTTGAAAGTAATCAATTATTTTAAATACAATTTTAATTAAATTTTTTTGTAATAATTCAATTATTTCAATTATTTAATTATTTTAATAAAATTCTTCTCAAGAATTCAATTATTTACATAAATAATTCTTCAAAAGAATTCAATTATGTCGATAAATAACAAAATTATTCACGAAAACTCAATTATTTTGAGGCATTGTAATAAAGTTCTTTACAAAATTCAATTATTTTCAAAAATAATAATATTCATCACAAGAATTCAATTATTTTCAAAAATTCTAATAAAATCGTTCGCAAGAATTCAATTATTTTCATAAATAATAAAATGCTTTTTAGGAATTCATTTATTTACAAAAGAAATTTAATAAAATGCCACACAGATATTCAATTATTTAAAAATGTTTGTAAAAATCTTTGTAAGAATTCAATTATTTTCAAAAAAAATTAATAAAATGCCACACAGACATTCAATTATTCTTAAAAATTTTAATAGAATTTTTTCTAAAATTTAATTATTTTTAAAAACTTTTTGCAATTCAATGTTTTTCAATATCTACTATTTTCATAAAATTTCCAAACAGAATTCAATTATTTAAAAATTTTCGTAAGAATTCAATTCTTTTTATGAGTTTTAAAAATGTCTTAGGAATTCAATTATTAAATTTTTTTTGTAATAATCTTCGTAAGAATTCAATTCTTTTCATGAATTATAAAAATTTCTCAGGAATTCAATTATTTTTGAAAAGTTAAATAAAATTCTGTGCAACTATTCAATTATTTCCATAAATAATAAAATTCATTGCAGGATTTCAATTATTTTTAAGACAATTTTACAAGATTTGTTCAAAAAATGTAGTTATTCTTAAAAATTTAATTACAATTCCTCGAAAAAATGAATTATTTAAAAAAATGTTTTTTTTAAATTCTTTAGAAGAATTCAATTATTTACAAAAATATTACAATTTTTTACTCAAATTCAATTCTTTGTAAATATTTTATTAGAATTGTTTTAAAGAAATCAATTATTTTAAATACAATTTTAATAAAAGTTTTTTGAAATAATTCTATTATTTTTTTTATATTTTAATAAAATTTTTCCCAAGAATTCAATTATTTTCATAAATAATTCTTCCAAAGAATTCAATTATAAATAAGAAAATTATTCCCGAAAATTTAATTATTTTGAGGCATTGTAATAACTTTCTTTGCAAAATTCAATTATTTTTAAAAATAACAATATTCATCACAAGAATTCAATTATTTTGAAAAGTAATAAATTTGTTTTTGGAAATACAATTATTTTAAAAAATTCTAATAAAATAGTTCCTAAGAATTCAATTATTTTCATAAAAAATGAAATGCCTTTTGGGAATTCAATTATTATCAAAAAAATTTAATAAAATACCACACACACATTCAATTATTTAAAAATTTTTATAAAATTCTTCGAAAGAATAAAATTATCTTTATAAATATTTAAATTCTTCCATGAATTAAAATTAAAAATTGATCCAAATTTTTGGTTAAATTTATGAAATCGATACCAAAAACATGAATCGATTATTAAATTGAAATTTTATCCAAATTTTTGGTTAAATTGATCAAACCGATACCAAAAATATGGACCAATTATTAAATTAAAAATTGATCGTAATTTTTGCTATCAATTCCATCTACTTTGGTATTTATTTATTTTTCAAATCAAATTGAGACAAAAAAAACGTTTTTTTGTCTCAATTTGATATTCTTAGAAAAATTTCACTTTTCAAGAAAACCGAATTATTGATCTTTAACTTTTTAAACATTGTTTAAACAAATAAAAAAAAAATGATCTTTTTTTCAACCGCCCGTTTTTTTTAATCCAACTTTATAAAATATTCTAAATCAAATTTGAGCGAAAAATTTTTTTAAACACTTTTCTATTGATGAAAAATAATTTCACGCAAAAGAGTTTTACAATTCTCTGCGTCTCTTTTGTTCTCTCGACTGCCATTGGATCCGTTTTTCCACCTTCATTTCTACGGTTTCCTATTAAACGAAACATTACTGTTTCCAAATGGGAACACAAAACCCATGGATAAAGAGAGAAGTGGCGCGTAGTGAAATCTTTATTAGAAAAAAAAAGTATTCATATACGATTTTTTTTTTAAACATTGCTAAAGGAAATTTAGCGAATAATGTAAATAAGACAATTGACAAAATTAAAAAGAAAAAGAGAGCGAGTCCAATTTTTAATCAGGCAGTAATAATATTTGTATGTTATGACAAAGCTATTGTCTCGTTTTTAGTGTATATTTAGTTTTTTTTAGAGAGAAAATGAGAGAGGAAACGAAAAAAAGAAGAGAAAATGAGTAAATAAGAGACAAAATCAGAGAGAAAGAGAGAGAGAGAGAGAGAATGAAAGAAAATTTTACGAACTGAGGAGTTTTTTTTTCTCGTCTCGATTATTAATGAAAAATTTTTATGAACTCATTTAGCGGATATTTATTATTCGTAATATTCCATTTTATTGTATATATCTTGACATTATGCACAGAGAAAAGCGAGTGTTGTTTTTGAGGCGGGTAAATTT